GTGGATACGTACCAATGTACGTTGGTAATAAGACGGACCGGGACGTCAGTTGCTTGGTCAAGACTGAACTGTTTCCACGCAGCTGAATAGTGGTCAGTGAAAATAGGAGAGTGCTTGGTTTCTCCACCCCCCATCCCCCAACACACACACACACACACACACACACACACACACACACACACACACACACACACACACACACACACACACACACACACACACACACACACACACACACACACACACACACACACAAACAAACAAACACACAAACACACAAACTGCATGTAGTGAGTGCGTTGCCAAGGCAACACCAGGAGGGTCACGGGTTTTACCTTGACATGCAGCACTGTGACCTTTAACCTGCCCTTCATCTACACCATCAATATAGGAAGATTAACGTAACTACAGTTAAAGTGACTAAGGTTTTACATATGGCAGCCATATGTTTTATGAAGGGAACCACGGCACAATATGTGGACACCACGTCTGATTGCAAGCAACATATGCATTGTTTAGATGCATATTCTACATTCATACATGCTATTTGTATAGCGCTGATATCCAGCTCAGCTCAGCTGCTCAAAGGCGCTTTGTTTTTCCCTCGATCACTGGATGTCAATCTCAACAGCACGTCGTATTAGCAATCTCAACTCCCTGGGGATCATACAACTCTTGCAGCCACTAGTTAGTGTGGCTTTCCCATCCTTATGAGGTACACACATAGTCACAGTACTTTGTCTAAGTTTACTGCACGTTGCTGTACCCGCAACTAGGTGTTTGCACGTATTCACGTGGTCACCATCTGGTCATATACCAACGGATTCGTGGGTTCCTTTAAATGCACAGGGTTGTGTACTGTACACTAGGGGTTGTGACAACACTGAAAGAGTCTACACACACAGCTGACTCCAAGGTTTTTACACCCGATCACAGGTGAGCTCGATCCCGTCACCTCAAACTCACTGGATCACTAGCCTGGCGCTTTAGACAGTTCGCCCACCACGCCCCCACCATGCCTTAAGATTAAGGCAGGGGCCAATATTCTGGTATTACTATCGAGCATTATCTGTAACGCCTATACAGGTGAGTCCTTAAAACACTCGCTTTGAATGTTTTATAGACAACGATTTTAACCAGTACAGTGGAATTCGCACCTGATTTCTCTTGGGCTGAACATTAAGTCCCGTCAAGACATGGTTTGGTGGCTGATTAGGGTATCGTAGGCCTTAAGATTAAGGCAGGAGACAAGAACTATAAAGAAGAAAGCGATAGCACGAGACGAGAAAGCGCATGGATTGCGAGACCAGAAGTATATTCACGAGACGGAAAGCCATAATCCGACTAAGGCAGGAGAAGGTATAAACTAAGATATGTGAGATCCGAGAAGGTTAACTAGATATGGGACGGGAAGAGTATGTAGGTCATTGTTGACATAACTGTCGTGGTTACTTCATGTTGGGAACGGTGGCTGTTAAAGACGACCCTACGCTCATGTCATCTCGTGTATTTTGTTTACAAGTCCACAGCTGAATATTCCACATTTCTGTCCATAACGAACAAAACATCCGCAACAGGTAACATTTCTTTCAGTCTTGTATGTTTCTTATTTGACATTTTTTTCCTGGTTGAAAATGAAATGCCTGAAGTACAGAAACGTGGATTTAACGTTTCACTCCCTTCACGATACAATGGTTGGCCGGACCCCGAGACAAAGGCGGCCGATCCCTGTTGTACATTTTTCTCTATGGAAATTTTTCGACACACGGAACAGTATTGTTCATGTACATGCAATGTAGTCACATCATTACACGACAGACACAAAATTAAGTAATATTCCCCTCGAGACAAAGAAAGAGCGCTGCACTGACTGGCAGATCCTTGTTTCAGGCTTAAATACAGACAATATGTAGCCATGGGCGTCAATTCAAAATGGCCGTGGGCGAAGGCGAGGGGCCGCCACACTGACATGAAGTCCTCTGGAATATATATAGACATGTAAACATCCTCCTCCTTCTGACCTTCCTGTTACCAGGACGATGTGTCTGTCACGTGGATGACACAGGTCAACAAACATATTACCCCTCGTCACCAAAGGGAAACCTTGTTTATCGGGACACCAGAACGAATCCTGTCCGGATTAAGAGGGAAAGAGTAATAGCAGTTATCAGACGTTCATAAAAGTAATTGCCCGAAAAGAGAATTTGCAGTTTTACCAGATGTGGACTATATTTTGGAATAATGGCAGAAGCGGTGAAAAATAATCTTTCTTTACATTGATCCGAACACACCTACCAGCCATGTTCTGTGGTGATATAGCTGTTCTTGCACATGGAATTAACGTTCAAATAGCGGAAACGTAGTTCTCTATCGTGCTCTCGAATTCATCTTACGAGCGAGCCAGTAAAATTTTGTAAAGTTTTGAAACATAATTATATTTTGCTTTTTACTTATTTTGCCGTTGTGTGACAGCACAGTTTCGGGGGATTTCTATGGATTAGCGTACTTTGATAGCGTAGTTTGATAGCTGATAGCGTCCAAGGTGATGAAGATGTAATACATTACCACTTAGGAAACGTACAAATACGGGTATGGTTTGGACAAGCCACTGACCATCAACTGGCCAATAGTTGGATTTGAATCAACAGTATTATTGTGTATGTTGGCCACTCAAGATCAATCGAACACCGAATACCGACACTGTTAATTTTTGCAACATGTTTCCTCAATTTAACAGTGAACTTTTCATTTTTTTCAGAATTATACAAAGATACACTTCGATTGAAGACGTAATAAACGATTCTTTTCTGTCCACGCTTAATGTAGAAATTGGCAAATGATTAGTTCCGCAGATCAATTTAATTCATTGCTAGTGACACGGAATCCTTTAAATATACATGGCTCAGTAACAGTACGCCGTAGTAAAGTATCAGTTAATTCATGATGTGAAAAGACTTAGTTATTGTCATAACTTAACGTTTCATTGAACTTGTTTCAGGTAATAATATTCAAGTTTCATGTTATGATATTTAACCATAATGTTTTAAGAAGAAGATTATATTTGATTATGCTGTCATATTTGATTCTGTTTGGTTGATACTGCAGGCTTGCTGCATCAGTTGATACTGCAGGCTTGCTGCATCAGTTGACACTGCAGGCTTGCTGCACCAGTGATTGTGAGGACAGAATATACACTAAACAATAGGAAGATTCGTCACGCCATGATTACAAAAACTTATGTGCAGGTAACTCATTAATCACGAGCCAGATGACACGCTAATGTGTGAACAAGAACAATAGATTTGCCGTCATATTAGAAAACAGCTTGAGTGCCTTGTACATGCGATTCTTGGGGCAATAAAAATTCCAAATTAAGAGGCATATGAAATATGGGTTTGTACAATGTGCAATTAATCGTTCAAACTTCAACATTAGGTTGTCAAACAAAGCTTTCAACTGTCTTGGTCCCAGAGACGGTTTATTCTTGGGGGAAAATGGCTGAAGGGTGTATGTGTGTGTGCGAGACATGTGAGATGCAGTGTTGAACAGTGGTGTTTCCACCCCAGGGGCACTTGAATGAATTAAGACATGAACAGTAATCTTTACTCTGAAGAACAAGTGATTTATTGTTTGTTTGTTAGTTCACATACTGTTTACGTGTTTCTCTGTTGTTTAGGATTTAGAAGAAAAATATCAACACCGAGTTAAAAGAATAAGGCAAAATGTACAACCCTGTCGTTGTTCCAATTTTTCAGGTCATGAAAGCTCTCTCCACGTACTTTATGATGGGATGCTGTACATGGTTCCACATGCATGGTAATAATAGATACAGGAATTCTGTTTGGGAAGTAATAAAACCATAACCTGCTACATCGTCCTCACCAAATACGAAACGTTCATTCCAAAACACAGTTATCCCACACATACGGATTGAATAATATAGAACAATTCACTTGTATACGCCTAATTTCCAGGCTAGGCCTGCTCAACGGATATAGCCATTGTATGTGTTGTACCGATAGCAAGCGCTAGGAGAATACCTACCTACACGTGCTTTAACTAGAACATACGTATGAAATTGCCTATGACACACATATATGAGATCGTCATTACGTTTCTATACAGTGATAGTCATGGTACAGTCATCGCCGGTGTCGCTGTATTGTGTGGGAGCCGGTTACATAATCGGTCAGCGTAAGACACTGTAGGTGTCTTCTCCATGATGAATCGACGTTTATGTGGAGGGTATGGCATGGGAGAATAAACTTAGTCATGGGTATTTTAGATACAGATTGTTGTGGTTTGTGTGAACGTCTTTGTGACTGTTTCCTACATAACTTTCTTCAGCGGGACGTAAGAAAATATGTGGGAATTATTTAACATGTTTTTCATTTCAAACACCGTGGATATGTTTTCTTTGAATGTTAATGACACATCTGTTAGGATTTATATTTTGTTTGTTTATATCATCCGACATCATAAAATTTACCTTAAACGAAGAAGCTTCTTTAAATAAATAGGCAAATTCAAGATATTATGACGAAAAAGAAATAATCTATTGGTCAAATAATCTATCCGCAACAAATATGTACCCTAATAAAACACATATTTGCACTTGAAATAAAATGTTGTAGTATTTTCAAAGTTATCATTTGATTAGTAATTTGTTGTTTTGTATTTTACGGAAAAACATCATATAACATACATGCCAAATAGCGTTTCTACTGTCTTCTTAAACTTTTATTTACATTGTTCTCCTGAATAAACGAATAAAGAAATGGGATTTTAAATTAATGATTTTCCTACAATGAGATCATACAGTAAACAAATAATTCATATACCGTGTTGGCAAAAAAAATGAAAACAGGATATGCAATTTGGTTTAACCTGAGAGTATTTCTTAACGAGAAAATGAAACGAGCAAAAATATTGACAAAGTGATGCTACCATGGGTTGACTGTTGGGTATTACGTAGATGGAAACCAAATCGTCCAACTTACCGTATAGGATGTCCTCTAAGATATTTTCGCCCAATGGAATACAAAGCCAACTTTAAAGCATTTACAGTTGTGGCAGCACTGAACTTGTTGTACTCCCTCTTTGGTGCCATCCAGGCAATTCTGAACTCTCGCTTGTCCCCCTGGACGCTGGGGGTGTGTAGCAGGAGGATGGGGAGAAGGAGGAACACTCCCCAGGTGTACATTGTCCCTGGTCTACCAGCCCGAGCCTGGCTGTACACCGTTCATCTGGCAGGTAACACACAACAGAAGCTGCTTCTAGCGCAATGATGACAAGTCGTCTGCTTGTTCTCATACATCACTCATGGCGGGAAGGGTGACAAACCGGCTAATTCAAGACTGTTACAGCCTGATGACCCGGGGGATGACACCAGACGGAGTGACCACTATATGAATGGTTAGGGAATTTCGGACAGTGGTCCAAAAGTGTCACTACCGTTTCCGTTTCTGCATCTACCTGATGACGTCATGTCGAGTGGACCAATCAGACAAAGGAATGGAGGCGCACTTAGGCGTACAACCATGACACTTTCATTGCCTGGAGAGATGAGAATGACAGTTGGGAATATTTGGTGTGTTCATGTTTGGAATACACCCAGGCATTCTGGATTATTATTAAGTAAAACGGCAGTCGTCAACGTCTAGAAAATTTACAGATATCACTCAAGGATTGATATTGTACAACTGGCCCCAGGACGATCTTCTTGCGCAAGCAAAATTAAACTGTGCTCTACATTTATGAAATGTCACCTGCATTATTCGCATAGTTGCACGTAGTTAGGCATGTACGTGTTTAAATGTTGACCGACTGTGAAGTGTTGTCTTCGTCATGTTTTACAATATCCTTCTTGTACACGGTCTCGTGATACGTCTGAACCAGATAAACCAGTGATAGATATGAGCAACGCCCAACACCATCAGGGAACAGACATACAATCAACAAACCCATGACTACATAGGCTAGTTAAGTCGCCCACAGCGACCAATACAGATTGTTGGTCATCTAGTCGTATTCAGCATTGGACTTTAATGTGATGACCAGAGAATAGGGAAATATTGGACTTATGAAGATGTTATCACTGTAGTTGTATGTTTGTAATGACGCAATGGTACTCCAGCTATACGACGGACTGAAGAATGGAACCTTTCGCTCAAAGGAGTTGGCGTTCATTTTGTAAGCGCACACAAGTACTGCGCAGTATTTTATTGTTTTGTAAACCTGGAAAATCTCTTCCTGTATCCTGAATGTGCCAAATCACGTGGTCCTTTCAGTCGCCTCATATGATAGGTATAGGTTACTGTGGACAAGTGTTAACCTCGCGGTGTCATGAGTGAAGGTTATACTTATAGATACACAGCAAAGGAAAAACACACTTTTATTGCTTGATAAAAATTCAGTGTGGACATGTATACAGTATTATATCAAACAATTTCCTACAATTCAGCATCACAAAAACTCTATCCTATTTTCAAATATATTATTCTTGCTTTAACCACTAGGCTACCCCACCGCCCCAGATTTAGCATGAAACATTCGGGACAGCTAAAAGTAAATACTATTATTTATATACTTCAATATACATATGTTCTTTATTTGCATATTGACAGCTCATTATATATGAATTTCTTGTAAATTCTGTTTTAATTATAACACTGCATCATGAGATCTCCAGGAAGTATCATGGACAATACCGATATGCCAGTGTACTGCAGAGGACAACAAGAAACGCAGGAAGCTATACACTACATTGCAGGCACGTCTCAGTCGATGTATTGTGGAGGAGTGAGTGAGTTAAAATTCAACGTCGCATCGTATTGTGGGAAGTGTGTTAACAGTTCCATTCAAATTTGGATGAACTAAAACATGAGACTGTAAAAACACACTTTTATTGCTTGATAAAAATTCAGTGTGGACATGTATACAGTATTTTATCAAACAATGTCCTACAATTCAGCATCACAAAAACTCTATCCTATTTTCAAATATTAATCTTGCTTCTGAATGCACTAAGGTCCCACCCTGCTTCCTGTCTGAACCTCGGGTTCTGCTAAAACTGTAGGTTGGACAATTAAAACAGACTGAAAACCATCACAGAGTACATTCCGCTTCACACTTCCAACTTTGAAACAACAATCAATCAATGTCGTCCTCAAAGTGACAAGTAAACTCGAATAGATTTGACACAGCACCCGCCACTCACAACGCCAACAATTTATATACGTCAGGAATGGTGTCTAGGCTTTTACCAAGCTCCATACTTACGTTATATATTTCTCTTATCGGGTGAGTTTAAACCGAACGTCGCATTGGCAATATTTTTGCTAAATGAGAACTGGTGCAATTACAAAGCATCTTGTAAATCTTGAAAATATTGATTTCCATTAGCTGCACAATGACAGATGACAGAAACAACTTACATATTCAGCAGAATAGTAGAGAACATCAAAGATTCACCATCAGTGAGTGAGGGAGTACGGTTTTACGCCGCCTTGAGCAATATTCCAGCAGTATCACGGCTGGGGACACCAGAAATGGGCTTCTCACATTGAACGTATGTGGGGAATCGAACCCGGGTCTTCAGCGTGATGCGCACACGCTTTAACCACTAGGCTACCCCACCGCCCCAGATTTAGCATGAAACATTCGGGACAGCTAAAAGTAAATACTTATTATTTATATACTTCAATAAACATATGTTCTTTATTTGCACATTGACAGCTCACTATATATGAATTTCTTGTAAATTCTGTTTTAATTATAACACTGCATCATGAGCTCTCCAGGAAGTATCATGAACAATACTGGTATGCCAGTGTACTGCAGAGGACAACAGGAGACACAGGAAGCTATACACTACAGTGCTGGTACGTCTCAGTCGATGTATTGTGGAGGAGTGAGTGAGTTAAAATTCTATGTCGCATCGTATTGTGGGAAGTGTGTTAACAGTTCCATTCAAATTTGGATGAACTAAAACATGAGACTGTAAAATTAAATACACTTTTGGAAAGAGGAATCTGTCGGTATGTGTTACGTTATCTTTATAACTCAGCAATTAAGAAATTACCAAACTTGGAACTATTGAAATGCTTGTTTACCCTCACAAACACGTTAATATGATTTAGACCTCTAGCTCTGTGTGTTTCTAAATTTCTAAACACAGTCCTCACTTCACTGCACGTGTTTCGAGTGTGCCAGATCCTGGGTTTAAATCCCGACCCTGATTCTTGTGTCTGTTAGCAACACCATATATAGTATGACAAAAATAATTGAGAATTTTAGGAATATGTTTATTGGATTTCTAGTATAAACAACCTTGACCAGCTATCAAGTGCTTGGTTTCATTCAAGAAAGACATCTCCGTTAATCCATTTTCATTAGTTTGTGAAGAGTTATCCCCCTTTGTTTACTTGCTAGCAGACGACATTTTCAGTGATCCTCAATAAAGATGATTTATAGAAGAGGAAGTTGATTTTAGAGTATTGTAACAAGGACATCAGATCAGCTAAAGTGATTTCAAGTAGAACAGGCATCCCTTTGTCCACTGTTTATTGTGTTTTGAAAAATATTGTTATGGCATTGAGCACCAGGGAGGCGCAGGTAGGCCCAGAAAATTGACTCTTTGTGACAGGAGGCGGCTTTGTATTCTTGTTTCTAAAAACAAACGAAGGAGTTTAGAAAAGGAGTTTAGAAGGAGCTGGATATGATTGATAGAGGAACTTTGGCTGTCTGTAAGAAGACAATTACGACTGAGCTCCATGCAATAGGTTGGCAGAAAAGTCGAGGAATTCCATCACCGATCATGAAACCTGAACGAAAGGATCGAAGGTTGAACTGGTGCTTACAGCATAGACATTTTAACTGGGACAATGTTATTTTCTCAGATGAAAGTTCTGTGTGACTGTTCCATAATACACTGAAATTCTGGACCAAACAAACTGAAAAACCTTTGAATCAGCGCCCAAAGTACAGTCCGAAATTTAACGTGTGGGGTGGAATGTCTGTGTTAGGGGAAACGCCCCTATGTATTTGAACAGTGAACAGTGAGTGGTACACAGATATTCTCGAGGGACATTTACTTCCATCTGCTCACGTGTTCTATGGAAATGTTTGGATTTTCCAGCAGGACAACGACCTAAAACATGGTTCAAAGCATTCACAGGCCTAGTTTCGGACACAAAATATGACATTATTAGATTGGCCAAGCTATAGCCCTGACCTAAATCCAATAGAAAATGTTTGGGGACTTATGAAGGAAAGTGTCAATAAGAAAAATCTGACAAATATTGCTGAAATGAAAGAAGAGGTGGTCCGATATTGGGACAGCATGGACTACGACTTTCTAACTTCTTTGATCAGTGGTATGCCCTGCCGCATTGAAGCCTGCATTGCTGCCCATGGTGACTTGACAAAATACTAACTGTTCACCTGTCTTTGAATCTGGAGTTATGTTCTGCTAATATTTACATTTAATACGTGAGTAATGAGTGAAAAAATAATTACAATCTCTAAATTCTCAATAATTTCTGGTTGTACTGTATATACTACAGGAATAAAGGAAATATGCATTATTTGAAGTTATGCCATTTTAATGCAAAAAGATAATAACATCATTTGTGGTATTTTCCTTAATCACTGTTTAACTGTTGACAGGATAATATCGAAATCTGTATGATTTGACACAAGGCAAATGTGGTGTAAAAGGTCATTTCACAAATTCAGTATCGTGTGTGTCCACCATTGGCGTTGATGCAGGCTTGACAACGGCGACGCATCGACGACACAAGCGATTGAAGAAAGCCTGGGGAATATTGTTCCATGTGTGAACCAACGCTTGTCCCCATCCACCTGATCAATGTGTATTAGGACATATTCCTGTCCTCTCCCAGCCAGAATAAGAAATTTGGAAATTGGTAAAAATACAGTTATTTACACGATGTACTTTGTATAAGTATATATGAACGTGTGTAATTGGAGACTACGGCGTTTCGTAATGAGGTTACTTTCCAAATGCAGCGGCTACATCTACATCTTGCACCAAATCTTGAAAACACAACATCTATTATTTATATATGATATCTAATCATACAGTTTCAGTCTTACAACACGAAATAGAACACTGTGGTCTAGCAAGTGCTGATGCTGGCTGTGTTGAAAGACGCCTGTGTCTGTCCTGGAATTCAGAATAGTATTGAACGTGAGAAGACATTAGATGTTTCAAATAAGTATCGCAACTACACTTGGCAAGAACATTTAAACATATCATTAGAAAAGAAATTGAATCACCCTCTTATTAGGTCTCCTTGCCTCTAGGCAGGAGACCTATTGTAATCGTTCGGATTATTATTAGGGCTCCTTTGCCTTTAGGCAGGAGACCTATTGTAATCGTTCGTGTTTTTATTATTATTATTATTATTTTTTACAGATTAAAAA